GGAGGCGCTACTAACATCACATATACGTATATATAAATACATGGAAATTTGTCTTTAAGACAGGATACTTAGAGAGAAACCTGTCAACTTCATGTTGGTTTTCTAAATGTGCTGAAACGGCTTCAGGATGAGAGAGAGTCATCCAACATGCTCATTAAATTGGGCAGCATTTTGAACATTGTGCCACTTTTGTCAAGACACCGCCATCAAACAAAATCTTCATTTTTTTACTAGATACATGTCGTATCAAAAAGGATTCAAATAATTTCTCTGTAGGATGGTGGTCAAATTCTTCTGCATTTTTTTTCTGTATGCGGAAAACGACTTTTTTTATGAAGGGTGTGGAAATCTGCTTGTTCATTAATCTTAGTTTGATTATTCCATTTCTGAGCAGTTATTTATAAGGTGTAATGCTTTCTTTTGTGTTATTTAATGACAAGTAAAGAGATAAAACAACATTTAAGAAAATAAGATTCAAAACTGTTAGCAGTGGATTTGATTTGAGTTCAAATTTATGTTTGTTTAGTGCAGAAGGGTTTAATCACACTTTTTGTTTCAAAGCCTGGAAAAGTTAAATATTATTTATCTCATTTAATATGTTTAAACAAGATCAGCCAAGACATAGTATTTCATTTAAAAAGAAGTACCCTGGTGGCAGTAACAACAGTATCAATTATAGAAACGTTAGTAACAATGAAAACATTCAATTTCCCCAAGAAAGGTCAACAGTAAATCTCTCCAAAATGTGTACAGCTCATAAAAGGAATGGTTTTGCAACTGTGATTGAAACAGATGTTCACAAATTCAACATTTAAAACACGAAGATGCTATAAAATAAATGAAGACAGGATTAATTTAACAAGTTCATTCAAGAACAGAATGAGAGAAATGAGTGAATGAGTATAAATTTATATAATTTAGAATTTTATTTTACACTTGTGCTGATATCAGTGGGGTTGCATGGATATAAATTGACAGAATCTGGTGTGTTATAACTGAAAGAGGAGCTGGCATTAAAAAAAACCCTCCCTATTTTGCTGTGTAAGAGACTGGAAAGACAGTGGCCTAATTCACCTCACCTACAGTAGTTAGTTTACACTGCTTAACTCCATTGCTGTATCATTACTCGTGATTTATATTAGTGTAAGAGAGAACAACACTGATGTAAGTGCGAGCCAAATCAAGTCCACAAGTGTCCACAGTGCAGTCCTATACATGGCCATGTTTCAGATGAAATCCAACTGCAGTTGTCTCTTAAAGGCACCTATTATCTTTGTATCTACAGGCCAAGCCACAGCAATGGAGAAAGCCTGTAAAGACATTTTTTTGCTATTGGTTTCCTTTGTATTCCAGAAAAATGTGAGATTTTTATTTAAAATAAATTCTTATCCTGGGTTTTTCCACCTACATCACTGCTGTGGATCACAGTTGTCATGGAGAAGTGATTAAACACTGTAAAAATTAGGACCAAAATTTTGACTGAGAACAGGTACCCAATGATAGATCATTAAAATGTTGCAAAGCGTCACTGAGGTGGACTCCTCATTGTTTCAGATTGCCACATGAAAATTGTAACAAGTTCATCATGCAACGGTGCACCACAAAGCTAACAAAGACCAGCATGAATACAGTGCATTGCTGCTGTGCAAACTCCCCTGGCTCTCTCTTTATTTTATGATCAAATTCAATATTGAGATCAAATAATCTATCTTCCAAGCAGTTGATTTTCCAACTTTTTTCATTGTAAAGAATACTTATAGGAGATCCTCTCTGCACTACTTCCTTTCCTAACTGCCAATACTTTACCGCTTTGCTCTCAAATCATTCTGCAGACCACTAGCAATCTAGAGAACATAGTCTAAGAAATACTCATACAGTGTAAGTGTCTAGTTAATAGAGAATTTTCCATTGTAGGTTGTGTTTGTATGGCTATGCTTGCAGACCTGTATTTTATAATTGTCTGTACTGTACATTGGAAATTATGGATTCTGTGAGCTAGTTTTTTAAATCCATTGATGTTTCCCAGTTTAAATAGTCATATTAGAGTCTTTTATCTGAAAGGATTTTTTTCAAAAGCATGTCCTGAAACCGCATTCAGGGAAGTTTAATGGTATTTCTTCATTAAAAGATTTTATGTACAAGTTAGTCTTTTGAGCTTTTTATAACATACTTAGAAGAAGAGCTTGAGAGAGCAGAATATACAAAACCAAAGAACAATATGGTAATATAGAGAGCACAGAAGGAGCTTAGGTTAGGTAGCAATTTACTGCTTCAATATTCAAAGCATATGCATAGTATATATTTACTCAGTAATTGAATGCTTGGTGGATTGAGTCTTAATCTACCTACCACATTGGTTTCTCTTCATAGTTTACCTTTTCTTGGAAGGGCTGAGTATATTACTGAAGGATGTGCATTTATGGGTTTGACTGGGACACCCAGGCAATATTTTTCAAAACATGATACACATTGGATAAAGCAAACAGGTCAAGATCTAGTAAAATTAGGCCACAACTAAACAGTAAAATAATATATGGTGCTATACATTGGGGATGTAATTTACCTCTGTGTAGAGGAAGTTCCTTTTGTGCCCTGTTCTGTGGGTTGAGTGCAAAATGCTTACATGGCCCCTCTGGAGTGGGGTAAATAGAAGCATTAATTAAAGGGAAGACTCATTTCAACAGCAAAACATGTTTTTCTTTCTGCAAACGGAAGTTTTGCAAAATTTGCAGGCTTGCTTTTTTATATATTTTCTTATATTTTGTACAAAATTCACATGGTCAGAAACCAGGAACTTTTTCAAAGCAATTTTTCAAGTAACTTGTCTTCAGTAGCAATCTCTACAGAGTCTTCCTATTTTCTCCATAGTGACGGACCACTTAAATGTTTGACAAGAAGGCAACAAACTAAAAGGCAATAATAGATCATCATTTAGCAGTTCAGTGAAGCTCATGGTTAACTTTAAGCATGTGAGTAATCATCATCATAATCAGTAACTTGTACTTATGTACTTTGCTGCATATGGATGAGATTATTTACAATTAAGCATATGCTTAAATTCTTTACCAAAGCAGGAACTTATTACTCATTGGACTAACTTAATAGTAATTCTTGTCACTGCCCTTTTTGAAATCGGAACCCTCATCCCAGTCAAATCTGTCAACTGTCTTTAAATTTCCTCCCACTAATGGAGCAATGAGGCAACACTCTGTTCTTCCCTCTTGAGCTTTTAGCCCCCACTTGGAAAACAGTGAGGGAGTGAAGATACATAGTGCCACTGAATGCTTTTTCCATACTGGAGCTGGTCAGGAGGGAAGGGAAAAGCATCTGCAGTTTCAACCTCATGACACCAGAAGCCTCTTTGTCTTCCTTCAGGGTGGGGCGGTTGCTGCTCTGGAGTTACTTCTTTCTCCCTGACTGCCCTTTCCAGCTCTGAGTGCAGGGTGGTCAGCCACTGTCCAAGAATAACAGCTTCCTTTTCTCTTCGGCTACATCTAGACTACAGACTTCTTGTGCAAGAACCTCTTTTCAGAAGAGACCTTTCGAAAAAACTTCTTGCACAAGAGCGTGTCCACACATAAAAGAAACTTCTTGCACAAGAGCATGTCCACACATAAAAATACATTGAAGAAGCAATGCACTTTTGCGAAAGAGCGCGTTCAGACTCATTGGACACTCTCTCTCATAAAAGGCCACCTGGAACCAGTTCAGGCAGGGCTTTAGGTCCCCAATTGCTTCTGAGTGCTGGTGCTGGAGTCCTTGCAAAAACACTCTGAAAGGGACACCTCCTCCCCCATATAGCCGTTTCTCCGCTGCTGCGTGCTTGATACCTCTTCAAGGGACAGCAAAGCTCTCGCAGTGCTTGCTGTGGTTGCCCTGTTCTTTTTTGGACACCACAACTTTGTTGTTTATGCTACAGAGCTGGAGCTGCCCCTGGGCATGCGATGGCCCCCAGGGCCATGCTACAGTTCTTGCAGCACTTAGTGCTAGCTGCCTTCCTGGTCCTGCAGGACCTGGACCCCAAGCTCATTCTGGGGTCCCTCTCCATGGCAGCAGCTGCTCCACTCTGCCTACTGCACCCTATTGTGGAGAGAAGGTCCTGGAGGCTGGACACCAGTTCAGACTGGTGGGACCGGCTAGTCATGGAGCAGTGGGATGACCAGCAGGGCTTAACAACTTCCACATCCAGAAGGCCACCTTTCTAGAACTCTGTGCCTGGCTCATCCCCGCCCTCTGGAGACACAACACCCACCTGCGGCCTGCCATCTCCATGGAGAAGCGGGTCACAATCACCCTCTGGAAGCTGACCACCTCTGACAGCTACCAGTCGGTGGGCAACCAGTTTGGAGTGGGGAAGCCCACCATCAGGGCCCTTCTCATGAAGATAAGACCCTTTGGGGCTGCAGTCCCTGTGTGTGGGGGGGGGAGGAGAGTGTTGGATAAGGGGGACCCTTGAGAGAGGGGGCTGGAGACTGGGGGGTTGGAGTGGAGGTGGGGAGGAAAGCCCCGTCCTCAGGAGCTTGTGCTGTCCCATCCTCACACAGCCCTGCTACTGGGGGGAGGGAGGGGAGTGGCCACATAGGAGTTTGGGGGGGGGGCGGGG